GTCTCTCTGTCTGTACTTTCACACAAACCACTTCCTCCGTATTATTGGCTTGAACAGCCTGGAGAACTGATCAGCTGTGCTCTGAGATCCTCTGCATCATTCACCTGCCAGCGCAGCAGGTCAGCATCTCTCCTCCGCTAATTTGGAAGGGGAAAAATATGGAAGTGAAGCGGTGTCCAGGGACTTACAGTGGTCTGACTGACAGCGTTCTCGAGTTTGATTATTTACTCCTAGAGGTCATCTGGAGCTTAAGAGTAATTCAGAGGGAATGCCTCTGAGTCAGAAGTCTGTCCAAAGGAGGAAACAGTTTGTGCGAGTCCCACAGTGAGGATGCTAGCAAGCGCTGCCTGTTGGAAGTGGCAGTGATGATGGGAAAACACAGTGCGGAAGATCCAATAGAAATGGAGTAACTGGAGGGTGACGAGGAAGAGGTGGCTAATATGTCTGTAAAACCCAAAGGAGCAAAATATTTTTAGGATGCAATTTGCTGAATGGAAGAGGGAAGGAAAGACTCTGAATCTTCCTTGGCAGATTAAAGAAGCTTCATCTGCCCCATTTTGCAGGAGTGTGCAGAGAGATGGTATCCTTCTCTTTCCTTATTCAGGGGCAGGTTGTAGCTGGTTTAATTGTTTTCACGGTCAGAGGTTTGTGTTTTCCTGGCAGCTCGCCCCAATGTATGATGAATGCTGCAGTAATGCTGGGTTTTCCTTGTGCTCCCTGTAGAACTGGATAGGGAGGTGCAAGGGAGGGGGGGTGGGGGGTCTGCTCTGATCAGAGCTGCAGCGTATAGTTGGGGTCCAGGAGAGTGGTGAGGTGAACTTTATTGTGCCTTGTTTGTTTACTCTGTGCTGGTCTTGGTGTGAGGCGCTTCTCTGTGCACATAGAAACCGTTGTCTTTATTGACAGAAGCCCCAGAGGTAGGTCCTCATGTGACAGCAGTTCCTGGGATCTGGCAGGTCTGTAGCTTGCCCTGGTGCCTTCTTGAGCAATGAGATCCCATCTTGGATAATAACCCTTTCAGGGCATGTTCAAAAAAGCATCTGCATGACTCTAAGCTTGCAGGCATTTTTTATTTGTCAGCAATTGCCTTGGCTTGCAAAGGTGGCAGTGGTTGTTTCTGCTTCTCTCTAATCTGTTGCTACAGGGTTGAGTGAATCAATGGTGTGATTTATGACTTTTTTTTTTTTCTTTTCCTTTTTTTGCTCTGTCACCAGTAGCCCCAAATCAAAGCAGGAGGTGATGGTCCGTCCCCCTACAGTGATGTCCCCGTCTGGCAACCCCCAACTGGATTCCAAATTTTCCAACCAGGGCAAACAAGGGGGCTCCACCAGCCAATCCCAGCCGTCCCCTTGTGACCCCAAAAGTGGAGGTCACCCTCCCAAAGTGCTCCCTGGCCCAGGTGGGAGCATGGGGCTGAAGAATGGGGCTGGAAATGGTGCCAAGGGGAAGGGGAAGAGAGAGAGGAGCATTTCGGCGGACTCCTTTGAACAGAGGGAAGCTGGGACTCCTAATGACGACCCTGAAATCAAAGGTACGTTTGCCAGGATTCGTGTGCAAGTGCAGACAATTAGTCCGAGTCCTCTGAGACGGAGAATGGCTATGCAAGTGTTAGCAAAACATTTATTTGCCTGGGATTCTGTAAGTTCCAGCCAACGAAGTCTAAAGGTCTTGAGAGCAGGCGAAGAGAAGAGGTTGTCATAGCTGGCATCGGCAAATGTCCTGTTCACGCTCAGTTGAAGTGCAGACCTGACTCTGGTGGGAAAGTTCCTTTGTAACTCTGAAACTCCCCCAGAGGATTTGAAAGTACAAATGCAACCTGTTGGTTTCCTTCTGGCCTTTGGCCTTTCAGGAACTGCTCAGTTGTAACTGGGGCTTTGAACAATATGCAGGCTTGTTTTGTCAACACAGGTACATAACCCATAGCACCCTGACTGGTAACACAAGCCAGAGAGTTGGGATTTCTGTGTTCCGTTCCTGGCTCCAGCATTGCCTTTGTGGGGCAGTGCAAAAACAGGCTGGATGTGCAGCTGTCTCTTTCCTTTGTCCATATGCTAGGTCACCTGGCTAAGGTGGCTGAAGGAAAAAAAGGTACAGTTTTGCACAGAGCGTTCTCCTTGGGCGCAGACATATTTATATTTGTTCATTTTAGTGTGTAGTTTTCCTGTTGTTCTGTGTGGCCATTAGAGAATTCAAAGGGGTCAGCTCTGGGAGCTGCCACTTGCCTTGGAAAGGGACAAGATGAGCTTTCTCCCAGTGGTGCCTGAAGGGCAGCATGGCTTTAGTGGGAAGGTGTGTGGTGTAATAGAGGAATTGCCTTTAGTGATGCTTGAGGGAGAAGTAGGAAATTTCAGAGGAGGAAAAGCTCTGATCAGTTTCCATAAATGGTTTCCAGAGAGCTCCCAAGGTAGTGATTCCCCCCTTTTCCTCTTCCTCCCCTTCCAGACTGCAATTCTGCTGATCATGTGAAGTCCCAGGAGTCTCAGCACACACCACACTCCATGACTCCTTCAAATGCTTCAGCCCCAAGGTCTTCCACACCTTCCCATGGCCTGACTGCTGCTTTGGAGCCAGCAAGTGGGCAGAAGACTCCATCCAAAGTGGTTTACGTCTTTTCTACTGAGATGGCCAACAAGTAAGTAGGTAGATGCTTGAATGTCTTTAGGGAGCAGGGCTTATATTTGTGCTCCCTTTGTGAGAGATTCTCAAGTGCAGTTTCTGCATCAAGTGCGTTCTTGTAGCAAAAAGTCATTACTTGTTTTGGGGATGCTGAAGGGGCTGGAGTGGAGAATGTCACTATCTCTTGCCCTCTGAGAAGTGATTATTTATTCCTCCGGGGTGTGTTTTTTTTGGTAAATGCTGGTAGATATTGTTTTGCAATCCATGCAGTGAGTAGCACCCAGGAGGGCTTAAACTGAGACATGAACCCTGAATGCTGATGAGTATGTAGATGTAAGCATTTTTCTTTTGCTGCTCGTCTAGAGTGAAATATGTGTGGTTAAGTCTTTCTCCCTTCTGCCAGCTGAAGGGTAGAAGGGAGGGCGGTTTGGGAAAATTGATTCTTAACTTCAACTGGATATGTGCATATATCTGTCTGTCTCTGCAGGGCTGCAGAAGCTGTGCTGAAGGGACAGGTGGAAACCATCGTGTCCTTTCATATCCAGAACATCTCGAACAGCAAGGCGGAACGAAACACTGTACCTTTGGTAGGGAATACCTGGATGTGGGTGGGAAAGGAAATAGGGAGTGTGCTTGTGTGTGTGATTTGGAGAGACGGATGATCATTTACACTCTGAAATAAGTTTTAGGATGGAAAAACACCCTAAAGAGAGTGAGTTTTTGACCTAGCCTTCTGCAAATAAGTATCTTGGATCATCCAAAGAAGAGATTGAGTCTTGCAGTATTTGGGTAGTATATTTCCGATGCATTGCTCATGCAGAGCTAGCACAGAAGCAAGGAGTACCTGCTGTAATGCTTGAGCAAGATAGGTTTCTGCATGGCCAAGGTGCTGCTCTGTAATCGCTGCATGGAGGCTGCCCTTCCTTGCGAAGTGTGGGCTGGCGGGGCTAAGACAGGATGTTTCGCTTGCACCGCTGCTGATGTGACGTGGCTGTAAGAAGAGCGAGTGACAGCGTGTGGCTTTCTCTTGCAGAACCCCCAGATCGCTGCACTTCGGACTGAACCCAAGCCCCTGCCGCAGCCCCAGGCCCCCGCTGCCCAGGACCAGAACCCTCCCCAGAACGCCAAAATGCAGCCGACTACACCCGTGTCAGCGCCGGTATCCAAATCCACTGGCCCCCCGTGTCCCATAGACCAGGACAGTCCCAGCGTGGAAAGCAAAGTGATGTCTGTGGGCAGCCCTGCCAACTCTACCCCGCTGCAGACAGAAGGATTTGGGCAGAGTTCGACCCCCAATAATCGAGCAGTTAGCCCAGTTTCACAAGGTAGCAATAGCTCGGCTGCAGACCCCAAAGGTCCTGCCCAGCAGGTGTCTGGTGGGGACCCGTCCAGTTTGGGCGAGAATCCGGACGGACTGTCGCAGGAGCAGCTGGAGCATCGCGAGCGCTCGTTGCAGACCCTGAGGGACATCCAGCGCATGCTCTTCCCTGATGAGAAGGAGTTTGCGGGAGGGCAAAGCGGGGGGCCACCCCCAAACGCTGGGGTGCTGGACGGTCCCCAAAAGAAACCTGAAGGGCCGATACAGGCCATGATGGCTCAGTCCCAAAGTTTAGGCAAAGGGTCAGGGTCTCGGACAGATGGAGGGGCTCCGTTTGGCCCTCAAGGACACAGGGACATGCCCTTCTCGCCCGATGAAATGGGGCCACCACCAATGAACTCCCAGTCAGGACCCATAGGCCCAGACCACCTGGACCACATGACTCCTGAGCAGGTCGCCTGGCTCAAGCTGCAGCAGGAGTTTTATGAGGAGAAGAGAAGAAAGCAAGAGCAGGTGGTTGTGCAGCAGTGTTCCCTGCAGGACATGATGGTCCATCAGCACGGGCCTCGTGGGGTGGTCCGAGGCCCTCCACCTCCCTACCAGATGACCCCAGGGGAGGGCTGGGGACCTGGGGGTCCGGAGCCCTTCCCTGAAGGCATGAACATGTCACACTCTCTGCCCCCCAGGGGCATGGCCCCTCATCCCAACATGCCCGGCAGCCAGATGCGCCTGCCTGGTTTTGCGGGAATGATGAACCCTGACATGGAGGGCCCCAGTGTCCCGAATCCCGCCTCCCGGCCCGGGCTTTCGGGCGTTAGTTGGCCAGACGACGTGCCAAAAATCCCAGACGGCCGAAGCTTCCCTCCTGGCCAGGGTGTCTTCAGCGGCCCTGGCCGAGGGGAGCGGTTCCCCAACCCTCAGGGCCTGCCCGAAGAGCTCTACCAGCAGCAGCTGGCCGAGAAACAGATGGGCCTCCCTCCCGGCCTGAGCATGGAAGGCATCAGGCCCGGCATGGAGATAAACAGAATGATGCCCTCCCAGAGACACATGGAGCCCGGGAATAACCCCATCTTCCCTCGCATGCCAGTGGAAGGGCCGATGAGCCCCTCCCGGGCGGACTTCCCGAAAGGAATACCCCCACAAATGGCCTCTAGCAGGGAGCTGGAGTTCGGGATGGGCCCCGGCAGCATGAAGGGGGACATGGGCATGAACGTCAGCATGGGCTCCAACCCACCCCTGGTCCCTCAGAAGCTGAGGGAGGCAGGAGTCGGGCCGGAAGAGATGATGAAACTTCGCCCCGGCGTCTCGGAGATGCTCTCCTCTCAGCAGAAAATGGTACCGCTGCCGTTCGGGGAGCACCCGCAGCAGGAGTATGGCATGGGTCCCAGGCCGTTCCTTCCCATGTCTCAGGGCCCGGGAGTCGGTCTCCGCAATCTCAGAGAACAGATGGGGCCTGACCAAAGGACTAACAACCGGCTCAGCCACATGCCGCCACTACCTCTCAATCCCACCAGTAACCCCAACAGCCTCAACACTGCTCCCCCTGCGCACCGCAG